GGGTTTCTACTTGGGTAGTTATAGGATCCCTGGGGATCAAGGTTCTGACCTTGTTAAAATCATCACCACTGCTGATCCTAGAGGCAGATACAGGTCTTTGGCCCTGGAGACTTGCTGTTCTCCATTTTACAATGACATAGAATGCATGCACTTAATTTGACCAAGCTCTTAGATACCTAAATATTTTTCTGATGGCTTGCTTCTCCAGACTCTTTTTTTTCTGAGGGTTTGTTTCTATTTCTCATAAACATTCCCATGGGGATTGCCATTCTCAGAACTTATGTGGACCCATAGGACATGGTCCCATACAAGAAACAAAATGTTCCAGTATATGGGTCTATAGCCAATGGTTAAATAAGAAACATAAATTCTAACACAAAAAAGAAGATATAATTACCAAAACTTTCTAATACTGTGTACTTTTCACTCAGTAGTCAGTAAGGAGCTGGCCCAGTCCAGAGCTTGCTTTCAAGGAGAATATGGGACCTAGATTACCATCCTTAGATGAAATCCCATTACTGAGAATTAGATGAGAAAAAACGAGTTGTTGAGCCAGTATACAGTTCCACTGGAGTAGAAACAACAGCGATTGTGACTAGTCACAGCCTCAGGGGTTTTATTTCTCTGTTGGTAAATGTGAAGATTTTTTCCCCTGGCATGTGACTTAAGGAAAAACAGCTTTTGATCCCATTCTAGGTATCATTTGGACTGTAAGAAAGTAGAAACAGTAAGGAGTACCAAAATAAAATCTAAGGATCTATACAGCATCACAGAACTACCCAGTCTGCTGTTTCAAAGTGACCAGAACACCAAAAAGATGCCATCTGTGAAATTTTATGACTGCAGAACTATGAGTCACTCTCCCCAAGTGAATAGTGAATATCTTCAACAAGGCACTCTTGAAATTAGATTTGGACCTCCTTTCTTCCTCAGTTGGAAGAGAAAGGAGAGAGAGCCTGAGAACACTGAGCTCACTCATTGTACTGTCAGTCTAGGGCAGAAGACTTTGAAATGTGTAGAAGAACCCCAGGTTGGGCCTTAAGAGTTATAGGAGTGTTGGAAAGCCAAGAGGCAGGGAAAAGGGCTACAGGTGTTACTTTTCTATTTCAAAAACAGTAATTCTCCTTTGATCTGTTTCACTTATTTCATAAAGGGGTTTCACATTTTTTTTAATGTGAGAAAGCCACTGCCCTAGAGGAAACTACTAAAACCAACTGTGCTGCTCAGACCTAGGTGGAGCTTAGGATAGTATGCTTGGCATAACTGTTGGGTAGGCAGTTGACATTCCACAGATTAGGCCCCATATCAGGCAAACTGGTTCTTCATGGAATGAACTAAATTCTACTATACCAGTGTCTGATCGATGGCCTCAACTTTTCTGTGCCAGAAAATGCACATGTCTGAAGGGAAACCATATCCTTCCCAAGAGTTACAGCTGCAACAAAGAAGAGAACAGGAACAGGAACAGAACAGTTACAGATGCAACTAGGAGCAGAAATTGGATGGAGTAGATCTGAAAGCAGATCTGTAGGCAGCACTAGAGTGAAAGCCTGCTGGACTTCTCCAGCACACTTGGCATGATCTTCACACTTGGCACCTGGCCAGGGGCTGCAGAATGGATGGCAGTGGACAGAAGGTCATTGGAAAAGAAAAGATATTCATGTGTGGGGCACTGCAGTACAAGGTTAAATTGCTAGAACCTGTTCTGAAGCTAAGTGAGGCTATCCATCCATCTGTACACTAGGTCAACTCAGAGTGCTGGAAGTAAATTGGGAAGGGAGAATCCAAAGAAGTCTGGTCACAATGTTGATGTTGAGCTGCTCAGCAGAGAGATGATCACAGGACATATTAAGCTAATAGGCCTTGTATCCGCCAAACCTGGAATTGCCAACTTCTGCCAACACTGGTGAAGAAATGTGAGAAGGAAGGGCAAGTGACAAACTTAATGTCTTAACCTTTCCTGAACTTTTAGCTGCAGCACTAATGGCCAGCTTCAGATATCAGTTGCTTAGCCTTCTGCCTCTCAATACCCGTTCAGGCTTATGAAGCTTAAAAATTTTATGCTGTATTCTAGAGAGCTTATATGCCCTACCAGCATGTGAAGTTTATTTTCCTTATTCGAAATGGAAGTAGCCAACCTGTCACAACACCCATGGCCACTCAAGCATCAGTGTATTAGAGTATCTTGTCCTTAAACCTTCACATCACATCTCTCCTAGTTTTGGCCAAACCTTACCAGTTAAGATATGTACTACCTAGCTCCCTGTCCATGGGCCCCAAGCCAGCTCAGGGGTACTAGACACACCTTCTGTGTGATCCCAGTCAGAATGGCCTTTAGGATCACCATCCATGAGCATTAAATCTATGCACCTACCTCTCACCATCAGAGCTGGCCATTCTTCCAGCCAGAAACTAAAGGGTAAAATTAACTTAAAATAGAAGATCATGAGTTTATGTCTCATTCATCAGTGTATCAAGATACTGCACACTAGACAGATGTCCACTATCTGTAGAGATAATGTTCTACAAGGAAAGTGATGTTTGATTTGACTATCCCTTGGAAACAGACCCTTCCCCCATCTCTCACTTCCCTGACCTCTCCTCTAGAAATTCCTCATTCATTAAGTTACTGCTTTTTCTTCTTTCCTTCAAGCCACTGCTCTGAAACATTTTTCTAAATATGAGGATAGAGCATTTTTCTTCCTCTCAACTTTAAGCCTGGATAGGGGCTGGGCTCCCAAGTTGAGGGCCAAGAAAGAATAGGGCAGTTGGTGAAGAAAGATTGGCTAATATACAGATATACTTTGGTCTCTAGTGTTTACATCCTAGAGTGGAAGAGCTCACAACTTTCTGGGATGACGCCCTTCTGTTTTTTTAAGTTCCAGCTTAACACCATGAGTTCCCTTTGTTGAACAGTTGCAGTTTGGGTCACACTTGCCTCTTTATAAAACTCACCTAGAAGGATGGGAAGGTCAGGGGCTGCTGTTGAAAGCCAAGGCCTAGCAAGAGGGTCATTACTGAGGCACAAACACCTAGCAGCTTCTCTATTCCTTGCACTGAGCCTGCTCTCCCCCAGGACTCTCCTCAGCTCCTCAGTGAGTAGGGTCATCAGTGCAGTCCTCTGGGGGAGGGGGATTCCATGTAGGGGAGGGGAGGGGCTGCCGTCTCTGTGGTGACTCAGGCAGGAACTCCCTTTAGGGAGTTTGATGGGTAGAGGGTGGAAGGAATCAGCCAACCAACTGTAGGGAGGGGATCCCCAGGGTCCCGGTACCAGGGGTAGCTCTTTTATCATGATGGAGACAGGGCTGGAGGAAGAGGTCAGGCTAGGTGCAGCGATTATCTCTCTGTGGTGACTCAGGCAGGAACTCCCTTTAGGGAGTTTGATGGGTAGAGGGTGGAAGGAGTCAGCCAACCAACTGTAGGGAGGGGATCCCCAGGGTCCCGGTACCAGGGGCAGCTCTTTTATCATGATGGAGACAGGGCTGGAGGAAGAGGTCAGGCTAGGTGCAGCGATTATTCCTCCAGCACCCTGGCTCTTAGCCTGTTTTCCTCAGATGAAATTCTCTACATCATCGTCCCCGGTTCCAACCCCTCCCGTCTCCACCCCTGCCCCGCCCTGTGCCCATTCCTGCTGGCCACTGGGTCCATCGCCCAGGAGCCGCCTCCCCTTTCTCCTCCCCTGCGGTTCTTTCTGTTTTTCGTTGGCATCTGGCCGGGCATAGCCACCACCCTCTCCTTCACTCTCCCCACTTCCCTTGGCTCCGCAGAGGTCCTGTTTGCTCCCTCCCCTCCCCCACCCCAGCCCTCCTCTGACGGGCTGAGGGAGAGAGGAAGATGCATTCCTTTAGTCCCTTCACAGCCTGCCCTCCCTCCTCCGGGGACCTGAAGCTCAGAGCAGTGGCTGCCTTCCTGGTTTCCCTACAAACTGCCCCCATGCCACCCCATTAACTGCCAGCATCCTTTAAGAAGGCTGAGGTGCCCCCACAGCGCTGACCTACATAGCCCGGCCCGGGGCGGGAGGGGCTCTTCCCCAAGTCCCCTCACCCCGGCCCCGCCTCCTTTCTTCCCCCGCTCCCTTCCTTCATCTCTCTACCATTACAAACCACAGAAGGCTGGAGTTCCAGACCGGGGCAAAGAGGCTACCCCACCCCACATTGGGGAAAAATCAATGCTAAACCCAGGAAAGCCTTGAGTTTTCCATGCTTTCTCCTCCCCGAAGATCTTGATTTCTCCTTTTGCCCAACCTCTCTCCCTCCCCCCTTCCCCCCACCCCACCCCCAACCTCCTCCGCTCCTGTCTGGGTTTCTTTTCCCAGCTCCTGCCACCGCTAGGGATATTGCCATCCTGGGGCCCCCTCCGCCCTGTGTTTTTGTTTTGCTCCAAGGAGAAGCCCCCCCTTCCTTGCCCACGCCCCCCTCCACAGCCTCACCCAGGCCTCCCTCCCTGCCCACTCGGAGCTCCGCCGCGGGTGGGGGACGGGCGGGGGAGCAGATATGTTTGCATACAACAGTTTGGGGGATTGCACTGGCTACCCAACCCCGACAGACATACATACACAAACACTCGACACACGCCCTGACTGAAACAGCCACAAATCTCACTCCGCCCCCAACACACACTGACACAGACACACACACAGATACTGACACAGAAACGCAGAACCAGACACCAACACAGACGCGCACACCCAGACACACACGGACATCGTCAACACATCCAGACCCTGGGTTGCTCCTAACAGACGTCAATTCCGAGATCCCAACCCCGGGTGCACACGCAGACACACTCGACGGTGGCTACAGGGTGCACACACCGGCACACCCACGGTCCACAGAGACGCGGGGATGCTCAGAGACAGACACAAGGGTGTTCGCAGCGGCTGGCGACTTGAACCTCCGGTTCCAAACAAAGCCAACAGGCTCCCTCCGCGGACTCCCGATCTGAACCCCCGCCTCGGGTCACTGCCCACCTCCCCCGGCGCCGCCGCCTCCCTCACTCACCGTCCTGGGAGAGGTTGGCCCCGGCGGGCGCCCAGCAGCAGGCGAAAAGCAGGAGCAGGGGCAGAGCGGCGGGGGCCCCCATCGCGCTTCCCGACCGGCTCCCCGCTGGGCGCTGGCGAGCTGGGTCCCCAGGGGTTGGGGATAGGGAGGGGGCAGACGACGACGCTGACCGAAAGGGCGCCCCCGAGCCTCTTCGGAGCCCGGGGCCGAGGCGGGGACCGGGAGGGAGCCGGCGCTGCTGCAGTAGCCGGGATTAAATAGGGCGCTCGGAGCAAACCATTTGGTTGGATGTGGAGGGGGAGTGACGGGGGGCTGGGCTGGTCGCGGGGCGGGGGACAGGCTGCCGCATTCCCCACTCCCCTCTCCTCCCGCACCCCCTCCGCTCCGTCATGGTGCCTCCCACCCTCTCCCCGGGGAGCTCGGCCCGGGTGTGGGGCGGAGGGAGGGAGGTGGCTCAGCAGTGGGACCCCGCGCGCACCCCTCTTAGGCTTGGGGTGGAGAGAGGGGAGTCGGACAGGGCCCTGGGCCAGCTGGCGAGAGCGGACACTGCAGGCCTGGGCAAGGGCGTGCCCACTAGCCTGAGATCCTCCTGCCCCGCCCTCCATCCTTAGGCAACTGGGGGACCCCATAAACCATGGAGTCCCCTGTCAACGCTGTGCCCGGGGACATCTCCCCCGTGGGTAACTAGTTACCCTCACCATTCTCCTAAACACTAACATCCCTAGTTTCGCCTGCCCAAGAGCCCCTAGTTTTCTGTCCAGCAACAATTTGTGGCCCCAGGCAATCTCCCTTGAAAGGCATCTTTGAGCAAACCTCCAGGCCATGGGAACCAGTATCTCCCTCAATCCCTTGTCAAAGAAATTATTCACCCTCTAAAAACAGTATTTAATCTCAGACTCTTGCCCAACCAAGAAGCCTACAAAGCAACTCAATAGTTTTCTTCCTTAACCCTTCCTATTTCACCCTTACTCCCAGTCCTTCCCTCCGATATTTTTTCTTCTTTCTTAATTTTTCCGAGGATCTTGTTCTTCCTTCTCAAGTTTCAGTTAATAAGATTCCTGAGTGAATGGTCTGATCACAGACCCTCTTAAAGACAAACGCATCTGTGACTAATGCAGCTCTTGTCCCTGAGGCCAGATATAAGATGGGGGAGAGAGTCAGGGTGTTTGTACTGGCTCTTGGCTCAAGAGTCCCAAGTTCGTGGCGTGTACCGTTCTTTGTGATTGAATATTTCTGAAAGTGTCTTGGTACATCTCTGAAAGGGATTCTTTTGAGTCAATTTTGCTAAAACTTAGATTTGGGGGGATAAATTTCTAAATTTTAGAGTCCTAGAATCAAAGAATTTTGGAATTTCTTAAAACATATCTGCTCCAACCCTTTAATTATACAGGTACAACTCCCAGGGGAGGTTAACTAACCTACCCAAGGTTATACTGATATTTAATAGTAAAAAACACAAGTGTCTGCTAGGACATGAAACAATACAATTTCAAAGTGTCTTCCAATTCTGTGAGGCTAATATTTTGTCCCTAGATGAGGGATTTGGGTGAGTGTCATCTAACTCCTGGGCCAGTCCTCTTTCTATGCTGATGACTGTGCCTTATTGTGCTAATCCTTAATGTTTGGGTAATCTTTCCTCTTCAAAGACAGAGGTTCTTAACTCTGTGATGTAGTTGATGTCTCTGTCATCTAGGAACTCAAGGACAAGGATGTGGAAAGTACTTTGTAACCGATAAAGCTCTATACAAGTGACAGTCAGTGATGGAGAGACCAAGAGAGAGGGCCTCTCACTGGGGAGGTCCTTCAGTATGGTCAAGGTGCTGCTCACTGTTTTTCTCTTACTGTTTCTAGAGTTTATGGTTTCTGGGAGAAGAGCTCTGCCTGCCTCGTCAACATTTCTTGAGTGCTCGGGTAGTTACTAAGAATTTCTTGCAGGACATTGTTGAACATCTTTGGCTCTCTGACTTACCTAACTTAGCGTATCTCAGTGACTCCTTGGGGCTCTCTGACATCCTGAAATCTCTGGGAAGTGACAATAGAGGGGATAATGTAGTTAAGGGATGTGGAGACCTAGATGTATGAAAGAGAAGAGGCTGGGCTTGAAGATGGGGCAGAGGGAAGAGATAAGATGAAGTTTGGAATTCTGACAGAAGTGGGGCAAGGTTCCCATGAAGTTAGTTACACAGAAACAGGGAAGGAGTGGGGTGTTTTCAAAAAGAATTAGCTTAAAAAAAAGAATCAGCTTCAGAGGGGAAGAATCAGGCTATCCTAGTTCAAGGGTCTTGGTGGATAAAGAGTATTATCTTTGGAGCTAGAAGAAACCTTAGAGATTATCTAAGTGGGCTTAAGAAAAAACAGGTTAATGTGGAGGGGAGATGAGAGTGAGGATGGGTGAAATGGGGAGGGCAAAATGTAGGATTAGGTGCCAGAGTCCTCTAATTAATCATCTTTTCCATCTGCTGCTCTGCAGTGATCTCCTTCTGCGTGCCCCCTGCTTCAATCTCTAGTGACTGCTGGTCTGGCCCCACCCTGTACTGTAACTTCATGGGATGAGAACCAAAGGTAGGAGGAAAGGAAGGAGCTGTTTTGGAGAGAGAGTATTAAGAGCTAGCAAGTGATACTGGAATGCTCTTTTCCTACTGGCTCCTCTTCCCTTTTCTGCATCATCAGCATCAGTTTGGCAGCAGTTGAGGCCCTGAGAATAGGAAGCAGTCACTGGCTTTTAGAATTATAGAATAAAAGAGTATTGGAATTATAAGGGACCGTCAAGATTATCTAATTAATATCCCCTGTTGAACAGATGAGGAAAATGAGACTCAGAGAAGCTAAGTGGCTTTCTATGTTCATACCGCTAGCTAGTAAAGGGGTTACCATTATTGGATGGGGGAGGCGAATATTACCATTGGGAGCAGGAATGATAGGAAGAATCATTCCCAGAATCCTAGAGCAGTGTTTAATTTGAGGAATTGTTCACTCCTGCATATCTCAGAGTGAAAGGGTAGTTACTCCTACACTGATGTGGATGTCCCAGTTTGGAATATCTCCTTGTCTATAATCATTCTAATGTCCTTTTTTACATGTGCTCCCAGCACCCTACAGTCCCCTTATTCACTAGGAACAGGGTTTTCCAAAGAAATACTGGCCTGCAGGGATTATCCCCACCATAAAAATAGATTAAATAAAAGTATCCATGTTGGAATGTGATCGCTATGGTTACTTTCCACTCTAAAATGTTATGACATACACTATGTGTTTCCCAGACACTTGCACAAAGTCTGGAGTAGGTTGTCTGTGGGATTACAGAACTGGTAGCAGTGAATATTGGGGGAAGCAGAGAAGGGGAGTGAAGAGAAGGCGGGTTTTGCCTCCTGGATGCCCCTGTCCACTCAGCAACAGCCTGGGTAGCTGGGGGTGTGGAATGTGCTGCTGGCACTGGTGCTGGGCCAGACGCAGCTGTGTGGGCCCTGGGCATTCCTTTCCCCACGCTGATCCTACCCGGGAGGGGAGAGGAGAGAAACTCAGCCTGAGTGGGATGAATTTTACATATTCATCTAGGAGGGGATGACAGCACCTGGCAGGGAAAAAAGAAAAACACTCAGAAGACTTAGCTCAATATCCATTCAGGTTCCACTTTGCACTCTAACCCTTCTCCTCTGTAAGACTTTTCTTTTTCAGTAAATTCTACGTAAGTTTCCTCATTGCTTTCTTCTTCAGTTTTCCCAACTAAACTAGTACTCCTCATACTGCTTCTTACCTCTGTTTTCCAGTTTTAATTAACCCCATCCTTAATTATAACCTCTTCATGCATTTTAATTCTAACCTTAATTGAATTCTAATTTCAATCCTAACCCTAATGTGTTAGACTCTAACTACTAATCCTAATACCAACCCCAATTTAATTGCCGATTTTAACCAGCATCTTAATTCCATTTTAAGCCAACAACCAGGACAGCAACTTGGACATAATAAAAATGATCACAGTTACCATTTATTGCGAACCCATCCCATGCCAAACTTTGTGCTGGGTACTTTACATACACAGTATCTCATTTAAGGACCATAAAGTACTCTTATGTAGTTGGGATTATTAGCTCCCTTTTCAATACGAGGAAACAGAGGTTTAAAAGATTATGTAAACAGAGGATCCAGATCTCAGTCTGCTTGACTCGAAAGACTGTGCTCATTCCTCTTTCTGCCAATAAATACTCTTTGATTCACCTTCTCCTAAAATCTTAACTAATACTGATTTCTAAATGAATTCTAAACAGTATACTAAGTTTTTTGAAAGCATGCTATTATCAGTTTAGTTTTTCTTTTTTAAATAAATAGTGGTACAAAATAGAAACTAAGCAAACAAACAAAAAAGACTGAAATCTTTCTGCCCAGAGACTCCACTGACTCTTTAAAACATTAAAGTAGTTTATTTATACAGTTAAAATATTCAAACTATGGAAAGAAACAAACTGAAAAGACAAGCCTCCTTCTCCTTCCCAATGTTGCCATATTGCACAACCCCAGGGGGCATCATTTGAATTGGAGTGTGCAACACAGCAGCTCTGCCTCCCACAGCTTATCAGAAAAGCAGATAAAGTCAAGGTAAATATCTACCGAATTAAATCACCCTATGTGTGTATGTGACTTAGGCATGAGAATCAGTAGACAATTTGAATCTATTATTAGCAATAACTATTAAGGGCCAGATTCTATACTAAGTTCTTTACATTTATTATACATTTTAATCTTCCCAAGCCCTCTATGTAGTATTTATTACCCCTATTTTACAGGTGAGGACAGCAAGGTTTGAAGAAGAAAGATGACTGGCAGAAGGGCACAGAGATGGTGAATGATAGACCCAGGTTTCAAATACAGATTTGTCTTACTTCAAAGCCTAAAATTTTAACCATTACACTTAGCCAGGAAAGCTTCACAGACAAGAGGTCGTTTGAGCTCAGTTCTGAAGGAGAGATGGAGAGTTGCTTGACATTAGAAAAGAGGATGACCTATGAGACCGTAGATGGACTTAGATCGATATGGGAAGAGACAATACAAGGGGAAAAGGATCTAAGTAACGAGTTCACAGAGGGAAATGAGTAAAAGGTGAGAGAGTAATAGGGGGATACCACAAATACATGTGAACAAAGACCAGAGAAATTTTTTTGTGATCAATTCAGGCAAAAACAAAACCGTATAATAAATATGTGTGTCACTATTGCTCCAGCTACAGGCTGATTGATGTATTATGGAAAGACAGTA